TCACCAGGAATGTGACCAAGGTGAGGAATCCCAAATGCAGTGGATCAGGGATGGTAGCCTTTTGGAGGACTTGTGTGATGGATGGTACATGATTCAAGTAGTGCACTGATGAATTCATTTTAATGGAGTAAGTGTGTGTGTGTGTGACTAGATTTACCACCAATGCCAACAATGTGGTGAATTCTCGTGTGTGTTGTTTGTTTTTATTAATGATTTCAGAGAGGAAGGGAGGGAGAGAGAGATGGACACATCAATAATGAAAGAGAATCACTGATCTGCTGCCTCCTGCATGCCCCACACTGGGGATCGAGCCCGCTACCCGGGCATGTGCCCTAACCAAAAATTGAACCATGACCTCCTGGTTCATAGGTCGACGCTCAACCACTGAGCCACCGAGGCCAGGCAGTTCTCTTTGACTCTAATACAAGTGACTGGTGCTTAAGCATTAGTGACACTCCTTTCCCTTTAGGATCACATCATGGAGATATTCTCCACCTATGGAAAAATTAAAATGATTGACATGCCTGTAGAAAGGATGCACCCCCATCTATCTAAAGGCTATGCATACGTGGAGTTTGAGAATCCAGATGAAGCTGAGAAGGCGCTGAAGCACATGGATGGAGGTGGGTGTGGGTGGCCCTTCCAGCACTCCTGGACGCCCTTCTCTGTCTCCTATCCAAGACGGGCTACCCACCACATATAGGGACCTTTAGAACCACTTTCCAACGTGGCTGCACATCAAAATCTCTCTGGAGCTCTTTCAGGATTTTAAATCCTATTCAGTGGGTGTGTTTTTACCAAAAAACATGTATATGGAACATTATTGAAAAAAATTAGCAGACATGAATATATTAGCATTTTAAGAATTTTTCAACCTGTTAAAAAGCTTAAGATTGAATGGTGTGGGTTTTGTGGGGGTTTTTTTTTTTTACAAAGAGTATATTATGGATATAATGGAGCCATTTGACTTTTGTATGAGAACATTTCCTGTAATCCTCAGTCATTTTTCTATTTTGCTAACATTTCAGCATTTTTAGGATTTTTTAAATTACCTGAATTCACAAATTTAACCCATTTTCCAAAAGCTTGTATCTTAGCTGTTTCTGATGACATTTGCAGCCATTTGGTATTGAGCAGAATGGTTTTAACGGTTAAACATTTGTGAATAGTTTCAGATGGCCAGTTTTCATTTTGTCTTTAAGGAATGTGTAATTTGTCTCTGCCCCAGCTCACTGACTGTTTCAATTTATTTAAATCCCTTTGAACTGTTTTAGGGAGTAGTTTAGTTCAGAATAAACTACAGTCCATCACTTTGCATGCATCAGCTTTTGGCTTTGTGAGTCACACCTTCGTATTAGAGACTGTCAGTCATGTTTGATGGCTTGTGCACTTGCTAAAAATTCAGGAGACTTGGACACATCCAAGGTGTACCTGATTTATAAACATTCCACATTTTCTTTTAAGATTCTGGTGGACTTTTGTGTTTCCATATTGTGCTATCCACCATCGAATGGAACAAGTCTACATTGTCTCCAGAAGGAAAATCTTGAAAAGGCTTGGCTTTTACTAGCAGCTGGCCAAAAGGTGTATTTGTCTCTGTTGTCTTATAATCAGTACCATGAATTTCATAACGGGCTGGCTTTGGTAGTGCCAGGGCCAGCTTAGGCTGCAAATACTTAAGCCTTTTGAGTCTTTTCTGAACACAGTTCCTCGTGCCTCAGTTATCCCCTCCATGCCTTTGCCATTTCCTTAAAGGTTGGAGCTGAGAAGATCAAAGAGCCCTTTACCCTGTGGGGACACACAGGGGCTGTGCTTGGTTCCCTGAGCAATTCCTAGACTGAGGTTGCAGTGTATGCTTTCCTGGGGTTCCTGGGTCTGCGGCTCAGTGTCCTTTGGTCTTTCACTGAATCTCTGCAGGCTCTTCTGGCCTCCTTCCTATGCTGCCTCCCTGTGAGCACTTCCAAACTCTTAGGGTAGACTTGGCATCTCCTGAACCTCATTTCATTTTGTCCCCTCACCCCTGAGGTTTTCTTCCTCCTGAGCCCTACTTCCCAGGTGATAATTCATCTAAAACCTGGTGCTGATCATCTGTCTCAGTTCTTGTGAAACCCCCTTGTGAGTCTCCCTTCTCTTGCCTGTCCCCTTCCCATTGTTTTTGAGAAGGAAGCTCAAGTGCTAATCCCATGGTCCGGCTCAGGGCCGGCACACTCTTCCCCTCAGTTTTGCAGATTCCAGCATGTTCTTTAGATGTTGACCCTGGGAGGCCATCCCAGTGTGTCAAGATTGAGTCCCCAGTAATGTTCTATGCCCACTTAGAGTTTTCTAAATGAAACCTTCAATGATAGTAATTTATGTGGTTATTTCTGTGAGGAGCTGAGTTTGTCCTTATTCCCAGGGCCCATTTGTCTTGCTTTCCATGGTATGCCTACATCTGACATGGGGCCTGGCCTAGATTAGGGGCATGTTAGATATTATGTGACTTGATCCTTTTTTCAACAGGACAAATTGATGGCCAGGAAATCACAGCCACTGCTGTGCTGGCCCCCTGGCCTAGGCCACCCCCTAGGCGATTCAGCCCTCCCAGGAGAATGCTACCACCACCTCCCATGTGGCGTCGGTCACCCCCACGAATGAGGAGAAGGTGAGTCAGTTTGGGGTTTCACAGGAGACGGGGGCCAGTCTGGGTTGGTTTTATTTACACCACAATGTGACAGTAATGACTTTGGGATTTTATTCGGCCCCACACGTACTCATGCACGAGTGCACACACACCATGATGCGCCTTCAAAGCTCATGTTCATTACAGCAGGAGAAAGGGAGAGAGACCACCAGAAGGTGTGGCCCTTGCAGGTTGCACCAAAACTCCAGAACATCTTTCCTTCGCAAGCTATCCTGACTCGGAGTATTGAACCAGGAAACTGTACAGAATTGTTTCAAAAAGCCAGCGTTGCCCCTGCAGTCCAAGATGCAGAGCTGCTTCCATGGTGTGTGCTTCAGTGTCTGATGTTTTTCCTCTTCCCACAGGTCACGCTCCCCACGGCGCAGGTCCCCCGTGCGTCGGCGATCCCGTTCCCCCGGCCGCCGCCGCCACAGGAGCCGCTCCAGCTCCAATTCCTCCCGATAAGCAAACCGCCGAAACTCTGCCCCGAAACGTATATCCCATCCAACTCAGTTCTGTCACTTTTCTAGCTGAAGGACAGTCAGTAGGAAACGAATCCTCACTCAGGGGCAGGCTTCCACAGGAGCATCGAGATGTTTCCTCTGAAGGCCAAGTTTGGCTGCAGAAGTGTTGTTGATTTGGGGTTGTGCCTATGAAGATGCTCTCCAGTTTCTTAGCTAGAAAGTTCCCACGTTCCCAGTCTCTGAGAGTCAGTAGCAGAGCCAACAGGAACAGAGCAGGGTTCCAGGTGGCAATGCCGCCCCAGCCTGGGAGCACATTTCCATTCCATAGATGACCTAGGGCCCATCTAGTAGCCTGAGGATCCTTCAGGAAAGGGCATGCTTTTGTGCAGCTGCTGTTCCTATAAACCTGGCCGTGCTCCCCTGCTTGAGTTCTGACTCTAGAGAAACATCCCATGTTAGTTGATGTAAATGGTTCTGTTTTCACATGTACTCATGTACATACATCCATGTGGCACATCTCCTTTTTCTCTGAAATTGGTAAGCAAATTGAGAGCTCTGCAAGGTCATCACAGACCTTCCCCCCCTCCGTGGTGGTCTTTGGGGTTACCTTGGCAACGTGTACATTGCTTTTTCGGCTATTATTGTACAGTCAGTACTATGAATTTTCTGTTTTGAAATTTTTTTGTAACTTTGTAGCATTTTAGATAATGTGTTTATACTTTGTTGTGTAGAGTAAAAGAATTGTGTTGAATAAATCTAGGATTAGAATACAGATTGAGTGTTGGGTTCACTGCTTTCTTCCTGTCTCTTGGCCCCAAAGATAGCTATGATTGTGAGGGACATGTGGCTGCCTAAAATCTTAATTGGTTTCGTTTTCAAAGTCACACCTCTAAAATCAAAAAAGAGCACTGGTCAGTTGGGTTGCTCCTGCACATAGACATATATGAGGAAGATGTTTTATCACCTTTATATCCCCAGGAACTTCTAGTTCTGCCTGACTGGAAACATGGATCTCATTTGCTGCTGCTATATTTGATACTACGGGAAAAAATATTTTTCCTCATAAATTGGTTTGTTCCAAGAGGAAGACTTTGAAACACTTAAGGTGTTAAAGAGCAAAAGTTCAAATTATCCGACATTGCACTTGACCCTTGTTGTGCCCACTGTGCATACCGAATGGTCAGAACAAGACCATGTCCTGCCAGGCGGTCCGAAGGCTTGCTCCCCATGCCTCTCAGGTCATCTTTATTTGTTTATTGGGTATCTTTTCAGTGTTTCTCCATGTGGGATCAAGCAAATGAAAACACCCACTATTTCTTGTGGAGGAGAATGGTCCTGCCATTAGTGCCGGTTGCAGTCTGCAGCAAGTGTGCTGCCCTACTGGGCTGTGGGGGAAGGCAGATATCCTTTCTCAATCACCAGGCTGTGCGGATTGCCGCGCCTACATTACTGTCCTCAGTGTTTTCCCTCCACAGGCAGCAGGCAGAACTCACACTGAGGCAGCACCCGGCTCCCATGTGTTTCCTGGTGTGAGTTTGCCAGGGTTCCCGGAGTCCCTATTACCTTAAACTGACAAGCCTCCATGACCTCTGTGAGTTATGGGCAGGCAGTCCCAGTTTCAACACTCCTGCTTTGGTAACTTGATCTTGGCCAGGTTGGGAAGCCTGCCAGCCTTCCATGGGCGCAGCTGTAAGTGGGGGGAGGGGGGGCGGGTCTCTTCTGTGAGATTTATGGGGGGGGCCTGTCTGGGACCGGCGCCCCACGCCAGTTCCTGCAACCCCGCAGCCCGTTGCACCTGGCGAGCCAAGCGGGGCGGGGCCGCGCCGGCCTCCAGGAGGCGTGGCTTGAGGCCTGGGCGGGGAAGATGCGCAGCCGGGGTGACCCGGGGCCGCGGTGGAGTGGACCTCGGCGGGCGGGGGCGTGGCCTCCCGCCGGCAGCGAAGCCACACCCCTGCCCCGCGGCCGCCCGCTTCAGTCAAGATGGCGCTGGCGACGGGGATGCGCGTCCCGGCGCGCGCCCTGCTCCGCGCGTGTGCGTGACCTCCGGGTGGGCTGGGGCCGGGGATGGCGGGCGGGGGCCGGGGTGGGGGGCGAGCTCACAAGCCTCGCGCTGCCGTTCACAGGGGCCTGGCTCCCGGGCGCGGCCCTCGGGCGGACAGGACCGGCGGCCGGTGGCGGCGTCCGACGATTCGGGAACCAGCGGGTGCTGGTGGAGCCGGACCCGGCCGCAGGTAAGCGCGCCCCGCGCCCGCGAGCCTGCTCGGCGCAGCGGCCCGCGGGCCCGGAAGCTCGGCGCCATGCCGGTGCCTGGCCAGCGTCCCGGCCATGCCCGCCGCCCAGGGGCAGGAATGGCGACACGGGATAATGCCTTGCGGTGCTGACAGCGGCTCCATGTGCCGTTTGTCGTATTATTCTCCTCCAGGGTAATTGAAAGTAATTGGAAGTATGTTTGGAATGGAATATTTTAATTTTTCTTAATACTTTCCCGTGGCACAGAACCCAGCAGATATTGCACTAATTAAAGCAGGATCCACAGGTGGAATCACTCCTAATGCCACCGCCACTTTCCAAAGGGGATAGAAAAGGTAGAAAAGGCACCTTTGAGAGAGACACCTGGGCACTGCAGAGCTGGGTACGGAGCAGGCGTGGGGGCAGAGGTGGGCGAAGTTTTGGGTTTTAGGACATGCTGTGCCATGGCCTCCCCGCTGTAAGGCCTTAGCCAGACGACAAGTGCAGCAACACATTTTAAACTTCTGGAATGGATGGCGGTCATGGCTGCACAACATTGTGAATATATACTTAACGCCACTGGATTGTACACTTAAAAAATGGTTTAAATGGTAAATTTTATGTTGTTTCTAAAAAGTATTGTTGAGATAATTTTTTTTACCAAAGTGTGTTCCCACCCCACCACAGAACTCACTAGCTGTGCTGGCTTGTTGGAAAGTCAAGTTTGGGGTGTGAAAGCCAGAGCTGGTTTTGTCCTCACTGCTGGACCCACTTAGCTTTCAGGAACCTTGAGGCTTCGATGAAGTAATGCAGTAAAAGTGCTTTAAAAATGTCTTATTTCAGTGCTGCTACTGAAGATGATCGTAGATTCGCTTGTAATATTTATTTTAATAATCACCCTGTGCCAGGAGTGTTGTTATTTGTCTCTGGTTCATCCAAGTTCAACCAAATTTCTCTCTGTTAACTCATGTTCACCTTTGGCCTCTTAACCTTTCCCCCAGTGTCCTGAATTCTGCCCCACCAGTCACCACAAAACTCCAGGGTCACCTTCAGGAACTTCCTTCTGAACCAAGTTTGGGTAGCTCACTTCTGAAAGTTTTGGTTGCTTCTTATATGTAATAATTACCTCTTCCTCCTACATTAATGGCCTCAAAAGATTCTTTAGGATTAGTTCTTACTCTTACAGAATGGTTTGTGTGGACGGTCCAGGGAAACGCACCCTAAATGAACGGTGCCATATCTGAAGTCCTTGGGGGCTGCCCTTGCTCAGCAGTGAGAACAGATGGCCCCAGCCGGCCCGGGCTAGCAGCTGCACTGTCCACAAGGGCAGGCCCTGTCCCTCCTGCTTTTCCTGCTGCTGGCGTTATGAATGAATGAAGAACATCCGACACCCCCTCCCCCCAATATTTTTCACCTCTATCCTTAGATAAGCATAAACAAAAAAGGGGGCCTTCCATGTTATTCTTTGAGATAACATGGAGAGACCTGGAGATTATGCTAAGCAAAATAAGTCAATCAGAGAAAGACAAATATCACATGGTCTCATTTATATGTGGAATCTAATTAACAAACTGACAAACAAAATAGATCCAGAGACATGGATGCATGCGAGAGACTGATGATTCTCAGAGGGAAGTGGGGAGGAGGCAGGAAGAGAATAACCAATAACCCATGGGCACAAACAATAGGTGTGGTGAAGGCCTGGGGAGGGGTCAATGGGGGGAAAAGGGGGGCAGCTATAATACTTTCAACAATAAAGATAAGTTTAAAAATAAAATAAAACAAGCGAGAACCAGAGTACCTCACTGGATTCCTCCTTGCACATCTACTTCTCAGAGTTGGCTCACTCACTCCTTAAGAAACTAAGGCTGTTTCCTACTCCCATGGAGACAGTGGACTTGTGTGGAAGGAAAATCTGTACATGAATGTTCACAGAAGCATTATTCACAATAGACAAGAGGTGGAACCAACCCAAGTGTTCATCAGCACATGAAAGGATAGACAAAATGCAATGTACAACAGGATGTTACTCGATCTAAAAAGGGAATGAGGCTTCCCTGACGTGTGGCTCAGTTGGAGCGTTGTCCCATGTGAGTTTGATTCCCAGTCAGGGCACATACCCAGGTTGTGGGTTTGATCCCTGATCGGGGCATATACAGGAGGCAACCAATTGATGTTTCTCCCTCTCCTCTCTGTTAAAAAAAAAAAAAAAAGGAATGAGGCGCTGATACGTGTTACAACATAGGTGAACCTTAAAAACATGTTAAGTGAAAAGAAGCCAAACACAAAAGGTCACATGTGATTCCACTTATATGAAATGTCCACAGTAGGCAAAATCATAGCAGCAGAAAGTAGATCAGTGGTGGCAAGGGGCTAGGACGGGAGGAATGGTGACTGCCCTGCCAGTCGGTACAGCGTTCCCTTTTTAGGTGATGGGAATGTTCTGGAACTCAATAGTGATTGTACAACAGTGAATCTACTTAATGGACCTGCATTGTTCACTTTTAAAGGGTTGATTTATGTTATGCAAATATCACCTCAACTTTTTTTTTTTTTAATATATTGATTTTTTACAGAGAGGAAGGGAGAGGGATAGAGAATTAGAAACATCGATGAGAAACATCAATTCAGCTGCCTCCTGCACACCCCTTACTGGGGATGTGCCCGCAACCAAGGTACATGCCCTCGACTGGAATCGAACCTGGGACCCCTTAGTCCGCAGGCCAACGCTCTATCCATTGAGCCAAACCGGTTAGGGCGACCTCAACTTTTAAAAACCATGTAACTTCCCATGGCCAGGTTGTGGGTGCAGGGTAACTAGGGGCACTTTTCCAATGCTGGGCATGAGCTTTCTCTTCACTTTCACACTAGGGATTGCTGTGATGAAGTTCAAGAACCCCCCAGTGAACAGCCTCAGCCTAGAGTTGCTGACGGAGCTCGTCATCAGTCTGGAGAAACTGGAGAACGACAAGACCTTCCGAGGCGTCATCTTAACTTCGGTGGGTGCTTGTTAGTGCTCCATGGCCCGGAGTTCCCTGGTCAAAGTGTGAACCTGTTACCAGATCAGAGTCCAAACTCGGAGACCATCTGTACATCCTAGTGTGGAAGAACTAGGCAGCCTTGGACGCAGATGCCCACGAGAGATTTCTGGGGATCGTGGTCCTAGGCAGGTGACGTTTTTGCAGGCACAATCCTGAGCCCACATTGATTCATGAAGTCTAGACCTGTGCAAACTGGGCAGTGGATTCCTGGGGTGCCCTCCCTGGGTGGTCCTCAGAACCTGGGCTGGTTTTAACACCAAGACCCGCAGGATTTGGCATCTCGTGTGTTTCTACCCTCCTCCAGTGGGCACCAGGCTTACCTGCTCTGCCAGGCACCAGAGGTGCCAAGAGAGGACACCGATAAGACCAGGCCAGGGAGGTGAAGTGTGGACCCAACATAACAGGCCATTTGTTGGGTCAGGAAGAGTATTAGGGTCACCTTTCAAGTTAGGAGCCACAGACAGCATGAAGGTCCCCCAAAGCTAAGTGCTATCATATTAGAGACCTGCCATCAATCAGTAAAGGTGCAGGAAGGAGACTGCCCAGCCTCTTTCAGCCAAGATTTGGAGCATCCACTGTGGGTGTACATCTGCTTTCTTGTCCCTCAGGTTGTCCCAGGGGTAGCCTGGTATTGTCAAAGCTCTGAGGAGCCCGGCTGTCTCTGACCCTGGGGGAACCAGCACTGTGCCAGCGACAGGGACCAGCAGGGGACTCCCGGGAACTGGGTGTGATGTAGGTGCCTGGTGGACCATGTGAAGCTGGCGTTTGCAGGACACCGCGTGGCCCCTGCCTTGGCAGAGAGATTATCCCATGTTTCTCCGAAGGTGGGACCGATACTCGTGGGTGTAGGTAGTTGAGGGCCTGGTGACAGAATCCCAGGGAACCTTTTGACAATCGCAGCAGAACTTTCTGGAGATGCTAAAATTGCCTGGGAACTTTTCACCCTGGGTAATTTCTGAAAATACTCCATTTAAGATATATCCTAGCATGACATTTTCTTTATTGTGCTCTAAAGTGAGGGAACTGTGTGTCACCAAATACAGGACCTTCAGAAAGAAAGGGGGAAAGCCATCGCCTCCCCAAGGCCCCAGCCTCTGTGCTGTGGACACGGTGCTACACTGTGAAGGTCCCTGCTGTCTCCAGGCCTCAAAGTCACACGGCCCTGAAGGGGGGAACCAGGGTTTGTCCCTCCACGGCCCATTTTCTCCCCACTACAGCGTGATCGCCCCCCACATGTGTCTCTGTATTGAGTGCCTGCTGTGCATGGAGTAGCACAGGCCTGCACAGTAGTTCCTCAGCAGATGAGTGTGGAATGATGTCACTAGTGTCATATGACCACCATCACAAAGCACACAAATGGGCTGGTTTAAAACAACAGAAATGGACCCTCACGGTTCTGGAGGCCACAAGGTCAAAATGAAGGCATCGGCAGGGCTGACTCCTACAAGCCCTAGGAGAGAATCCTCCTTGGCCTCGTCCAGCTCTGGGGGCTCATGGTGTTCTCTGCTTGTCTCCACCACCAGCCTCCTCCATCTTCACAAATGTCTGCCTTGTGTCTCTGCTCTCCTTAGAAGGGTACCAGTCACAGGATTTAGACACCCCCCCTCCCCTCACTGCAGTATGACCTCATCTTGATCACATCTGCAAAGACCCTATTTCTGAACGAGGTCATGTTCACGGATCTGGGGGTGAGGAGCTCACCTTGTCCTTTTCAGGGATGCAATTTGGCCCGCTGCCGCTGTGTCGCTAACTCACAGAAACAGGCCGTCCCACACCCCTTCTAGTTTATCTAACGGAGACCATCCCAGTTAGGATCATGTGGTTTATTCTCACATCCGAAATATGCTTTGCCTTTGATTTCCTGAATATGGGCAAATGCTGTTACCCTGCCCTACGTCTGTGCTGATAAAATGTATTGGATTTTGGGGGGGAGGGGACCAGGGGATTTTGGGGGGAAAAGGATGAGGAAAAGGCAGAAGCTGAATGTACTCTTGCCGTGTCCTTTAAGCAAGAGCAGCTCTGTCCCTGCTGCCATCCCTTTCCCAGCCCAGGGCTGCCTGGCTTCCAGGTCCCTGTGTCTGGCCCATGAGGAACCGTGGACTTGGTATAATGACTTCACATCTTTCTCTGTTGAGTCTTTTTAAGTTACAGGAGTAGGACACAGTCCATGGGAACAAGAGGTCAGCCTCCCAAGTATTTTGCACATACAAGCCATTGAGTATTGACTGTCCCATATTTTATCTGCCTGCTCTTCACAGGCAATGGGTGGTTGTCATTCTCAAAAGCAGTGTGGTACCCACGGTCAGTTCTAGTTGCCACCAGCCTCAAGCACCCCATCCCCCAGCCATGGGAGTGTGGGAGCATCTCCTTTGCTCAGAGGTGCTGTGCCCACATGGGAGCCCCAGGGGTGGGTGTTTCCAAGTGAAGGCTGCTGAGCCATCCCTCCCTATCCGTGTTCTTGGCCAACAATCCTTTCAACACACAGAACTTGGTGCCCATTGTGCTGGCAGCCCTTTATTTCTGTTTGTCGTTCCTCCTGTGTGTTTGCTCTCCCTCCCTTCCTTGGCAGCTGTTTCAGGACCTGGGGCATCAATACAGGACATATGTCTTCAGAGTCATTCCCCAGGCTTCTGTCTTACATGTGACAGCCCAGGGCAGAGGTCTAGCTTCTTGACTGGTCACTGCCCCTTTCCTGACCAGACAGCAGCATCTTCCTGTCTGCAGCAGTCGGCAGCTTGCTAGACCTTTGGGAGTATATCAACATGGGCCCCCAACAGACTGTCAGAAGTCCTCCCCATGCCTCTTTTAAGTTTTCTGCCTGGGATACCACATAGGTTTGCACAGAGCCTGGGGGAGTGCCTGACCCTGCCTGCCTGTTCTGCCTTTTCCAGTTTGAATTTGGAAAGGGAAGAACTTCCCAGGACAGAGAAGGAACTGAGTCAGAGGGAGGTGGAGGCTGAGTCCTTGAGCCCCAGCTTTGGGCTCCTTGGGACAGTGTCCTGCCTCACCCTGAGCAGGACCTCAGCTTTGCTGCCCCTTGAACACCTGTGGGCTCCCCCTGCTCTGGGAGCACATTGCCCTGGAAGGTGGACTCTGAATGGGCCCTTGCTCCCTCACTCACCCAGGACAGCCCCGGGGTCTTCTCAGCTGGCCTGGACCTGAGGGAAATGTGCGGGAGGAACCCGGCGCACTATGCTGAGTACTGGAAGGCTGTGCAGGAGCTGTGGTTGCGGCTCTACCTGTCCAATATGGTGCTGATTGCCGCCATCAATGTGAGTGTTTCCACTCTCCACCGGCCTTTCTGCCTCCCTGGAGGCTGGGGGATGTGGAGGGGGGGAGGGGGGAGCAGATGTGGCCCTGCCCTCGGGAAGCCCTCAGAGGGGAAGGGTGCCTTGGGGAGAGATGTGCACAGGTAAGCGTGCCATTACAGATCACTGTGACATGGTGACAAACAAGGTAGGGGCCACAGGGGTCAACTCACTCAATGAGGTGGGGGCAGAGCCCAGGATCCAAGGGCTATATGGGGAGCAAGTGGGGAATTGGATCCACATTTTAAAAACATCACTTTGGCCCGACCTGGGGAAGGCAGGGACAAACCGCTAAGGTAAGGTGCTGAAGCTAAGGCTCCAGAACTGGTGTGCCCTGAAGAGATGTGGTGACAGCCCAAGTAAGGTGCAAGGAGAGCCTGCGCCTGGTGGAGGGAGGGGTGGGGGTTAGGTCACTGTGAGAGCTCACACCCACTAGCAGGCATTCCTCGGGACCCTGACTCTCTGGAATACTATTGGGACCAGCAATAGCAGCACCCAGAGCCCAGTGGTCTTGCTTCCCCTGCAGGGAGCCTGCCCTGCTGGAGGCTGCCTGATCTCCCTTACCTGTGACTACCGGGTCCTGGCTGACAATCCCAGATATGCCATTGGGCTGAATGAGACCCTGCTGGGCATCGTCGCCCCTTTCTGGTAAGGCCAGGAACTGCACCCATTTTCCACTTGGCTCAGGGATGAACCAACCCACCTGGGAGCCCCCAGCCCCAGGTGAGTGGGTGTCTGCATTCCAGGTTCAAAGATACGCTTGTGAACACCATTGGGCACCGTGCCGCAGAGCGTGCTCTGCAGCTGGGGTTGCTCTTCCCGCCAGCAGAGGCCCTCCAGGTCGGCATAGTGGACAAGGTGGTGCCTGAGGACCAGGTGCAGAGCACAGCGCTCTCAGTGATGGGCAAGTGGCTGGCCATTCCAGGTGAGGAGCACAGGGATGGGCAGCCACTGTGGGTACTGGTGAGCAAGCAAAGCCTCCTTCCCTCCCCTTCTCTTCCTTCCCTTCCCCTTCCCTCCCCAGCCTGATACTCCTGGTGAGACCGGAAAGTTCTCAGGTAAAAGTGCACCGTGCAAGTCAAGAACATGCAGACTGGCTTAGTGCCCTGGGGCTACTATAACAAATAATCACAGGTGGATCATTTGTGCTTAAAACAAATGTATTCTCTCACAGTGTGGAGACCAGAAGTCCAAAGTCAAGTTGTAAATAGGGCGACGATCACTCCAGATATTCTAGGGGAGGCTCCTTTCTTCCTCTCAGTTCCTGGTGGCTCCAGACATTCCTTGGTTTGTGGCCCATCACTCCAATCTTTGATTTCATCTTCACATAATCTCCTTTATCCCACATCTCCCTTTCCTTTCTATTAGAAGGACCTCATCTTAATTGCATCTGCAAAGACCCTTTTCCAAATAAGGCCACGTGCACTGGTTCTAGAAGGGTGGTTAGGACTTATATCCTGCATATCTGTTTATAGAAATAGGGCTGGTTGTGTTAATTACAATAGGGACTTGGATCAGCAGACTAAAGAGCCAGGTGGAGTTCTGGCTTTGTGGGTCACACAGTCTCTGTCACAGCTGTGGCATGAAGGTAGCCACAGAGAGTATGTGAACTAATGAGCATGTTGATGTTCTGATAAAACTTAGGGCCACTGAAATTTTATTTCATGTAATTTCACATTGCAACATATTACCCTTTTTGTTCAACCATGTAATAAAAGGCTAATATGCAAATTGACCAAACGGTGGAGCAACTGGTCGCTCTGATGTGCACTGACCACCAGGGGGCAGACACTCAATGCATGGGCTGCCCTCTGGTGGTCAGTGCACTCCCACAGGGGGAGCACCACTCAGCCAGAAGCCGGCTCTCGGCTAGCGAGTGCAGAGGCTGTGGTGGGAGCCTCTCCCGCCTTTGCAGCAGCGCTAAAGATGTCCACCCAAGGGCTTAGGTTCTCCCATAGGGAGTGGGCCTAAGCCCTCGGTTGGACATCCCCCAAGGGGTCCCAGACTGCGAGAGGGCACAGGCTGGCCTAAGGGACCCCACCTACCCACCCACCCCCGGGATTCACGTATTTCATGCACCGGGCCTCTAGTACTATATAAAAATGTAAAAACCATTCTTAGTTCACAGACATGGGGATGACCAAATATATTGAGTGACTTGAAAAATATTCTTTTTTTAAAAAAATATGTTTTTATTGATTTTAGAGAAGGGAGAGAGAGAGAGAAACATCAATGATGAGAATCATTGATCAGCTGCCTCCTACACGCCCCACGATGGGATCAAACCTGCAACCTCGGCCTGTGTCCTTGACCCAAATCGAACCTGGGATCCTTCAGTCTGCAGGCTGGCGCTCTATCCACTGAGCCAAACCAGCTAGGGCTGGAAAATATTCTTGATAAGTCCTGGCAGGTGTGGCTCAGTTGGGCTTCATCCCATGCATTAAAAGGTTGCTGGTTTGATTCCTGGTTAGGGTACATGCCCAGGTTGCCCACTTGATCCCCAGTTGGGGGCATGTAGGAGGCAGTCTCACATTGATGTTTCTCTCCCTTCTCCCTCTCTAAAAAAAAAACCAAAAACCTTTAATAAGATGTTATCGATAATATAGTTGAGTGAAAATAAATAGGCTAAAAATGCAAATTATTTTTTTTTTTATTGGTTTCAGAGACAGACAGGGAGAGGGAGAGAGACATGGAAACATCAATGATGAGAAAGAATCATTGATAGGCTGCCTCCTGCACAAACTGTACTGGGGATTGAGGCCATAACTGGGACATGTGCTGTGACCTGGTTCGTGGATTGAAGCTTAACCACTGAGCCACATTGGTCGGGCTAAAAAGGCAGTTTTTACAGTATCGTCCTATCTGTTTTTAAAAGATAACGGTAGTGGGAACATAGGTGATTTCATTTTCTTTTTACTTATGTTTAACTTCTGCGTGTTCTGCTGAAGTTTGTGTTGGAGCTCTTAGGAAGGTTGGGAATTATTTTCACACATGGACCCTGTTATCTTTAGATCACGCTCGACAGCTGACCAAGAACATGATGCGAAAGCCCACAGTAGACCGCTTGGTGAAACAGCGCGATGCTGACATCAAGAACTTTGTCAGTTTTGTCTCCAGAGACGCCATTCAGAAGTCCTTGCAGATTTACTTAGAAAAGCTCAAACAGAGGAAAGGCTAACGGCGGGGCTGCCCACACAGGCTGTAGGCTTAGGCACCCTTCCAGGGGCACTCTGGTCCCACGGGGGTTTAAACAAGGTATTTTCCAATTTAAAAATCCTTGCAGCTCTTTGTTTTGCTGATCTTTCCAGAAGGCCATGTTCCTTGTAGCCAGGGCGGAAGACCCACCACCATACACGAGTGCGTTTTCTGCCTGGCAGGTGGGGTTTGCAGGCAGTGTCTGGATTGGGGAATCATGAACTGGCAGGTGGACCTATTCTGGACCTGGGCAGTGTCACCGCTGAGTGCCTCCTTTCCCAAAGAAATATGACTGAAGCCCTGGCAGGTGTGTTTCAGTGTTAGAGCATTGGCCTGTACACCAGAGGGTCACGGGTTCAATTCCCAGTCCCTGGCGTGTATGGAAGGCAACGGCTCAATGTGGGACACATCAAGGTTTTTCTCTCTCCCCCCACCCCCTCCTTTCCACTCTCTAAAAATTAATGGGAAAAATATCCTCAGTTGAGGGTTAACAAAAAAAAAAAAAGAATTGTCACTAAAGTTCTCAGGTTGTCCTATCCCTGGCCTCTGGGCTGCCTGATTGCTAGAAGCATAAGGGAGTCATGGGCCCTGATGATCCACACAAGATACCTCCCCTCTCCCCCCCATCCTTGCCCCCAGAGAAAAACCCTTTGGCTACCACATTTGTTCATTTAGATGGAAGGAATGTATGACAATTCAGAGAAATCAGGGGGACTTGAAGAGGATCAAGGGAGGCATTATTTGAGAGGCATTCTATGTTGCAAGTGTCCTATATCTTAATTTAAAAAGACTTGTCAAGAAAAACTTGCTCGAACTTTTGACAAAAAGGCTTTTCCTCCCACCGTACAATTCAGGACAGTTACCAAATCCTGCCAAAAACTAGAAACCTCATCAGGCCCCTGTCAGTTATACCTTGTACTCCCGATCCTCAGGGGATGGGTTTACCTGGGATACAGGCCATTGTCCTGACAAGTCCTTGCCCAGCCCAGGGCTCGTGAGGAGAACCTACCCAGGAAGGCACCACCGAAGGGCTGTACCACCTGGAGTTCTGTGGGCAGGATCTTAACCTGACCCCCTGCAGTGATGGACAGGACTCCATACAGACCAGTGCCTGGGGGTTGAGGAACATTGGGGCTGGAAGGTTGGCCTTGCAAGGCAACACTATACCTGTGTGTGTGCTGATCCGCACTGCATTCACAGTGGTCTGGAAGTGGTGGTTTCCAGCAGGATGTGAAATGGGCAGGCCAGACTGTGCTTGTCCCCTAAAGTAGCAGTCGCCAGCCGGTGGTCTGCGGATGAGGTCCAAAAGGTTGTCGACCGCTGCCCTAAAGAACCTGCTGGGCTGCAGGACAAGGTTTGTACCACAGAAAGACAAGCTAAGAAAGGACACGAAGGCCTCTAAGCTGACCTGTTTGTGGTCCTAGCTTAACACTCTTGTTTATTGAACAGAGCCACACCCAGTGCTCTGGGTTGCTCCTCACACCCCTGTGAGGTAGGTAGTGGTAGGCCATTTACAGATGGGGGGATCAGCTCACTGTTCCAGTAACATGTCAATGGCCACCTGTCCAGGCCCAGTTCCCCCTGCCCTGCAGCCTTGCTGAGGGCAAGCCAGCCACCTTGAGTCCTGTGGAGCTGTTCCTCATAGCCAGTCTGCAGGCAGCATGCCCTGGCCAGTCCTCGGAGCTGTCAGTGGGGCTTGAGGGTCACCTCCACAGGAAAATGGTCACTGATGGCAAGGGCCTGGAGGGAGAGGGGCCAAGTCTCAGTGGTCCTGCTGGGCAGCCTGTCCTTCCTGAGGCTTCACCTCAGAGAACTGGCCCCCCACCTAGGATGAAGCCCACTGGGTTTGTAAGAAACCACCTTCTAGGGGAGTAGGCCAGTGAGGCCTGAGCTGTTCATCCCTGCTGTTGCCTGCAAGTGGGGGGTGGGCACAGACTCAGGACCCTACCTCTGGGAGAGGCGAAGGCATCCTATTGTGCCTTCCCAGACTTGTTCCATTCAACCACAACTGACCCTGTAGGGGCCTTTTCCAGAAACTAGGGCAGGGAGGGGATTGCCAGGTGCACTGAGGCTGAGCCTGGTCCTGGACAGAAGAGAGCTGGCTCCTGTCTGCCAGTGCAGAGCGGCCAGGGGACACCCCCCTCTCCCCACTCCATGGAGCTCAGCACTCACCTGAGTCTGGTCCAGGCCAAACACCTCCTGGAAGTTGTGCACCGTGGCCGACTGGGGCTTCAGGCTCCTGCGCAGGTGAGCACCACAGACAACAATGCGGTCGTAGGCGCAGTCCGAGTTGCCCACTGTAGTGTCAGCGCTGTCCGGGATGAGCCACTTGAACACTTCGCTGCTGCGCAGGCGGATAGCCGCCCAGTCCTGCTCCTTCACGTAGCTGCAGTCCGCGTTGAAGTCGCCCAGGAACAGCATGTCCTGCAGGGGACCAGGGTCAGCCAGCCCACGCCTCTATGGCCGCCCCCAGGGCCTGCCTCCGGGGACCCAGGGCTGTGCGGGCGCGGGGCTTACGTCGGTGCCCCACTTGTCGATAATGTCCAGGTACACATCGTAGAGAGCATCGATCTCCGCCACTGCGTGGTGGGGCGCAGCGTGCAGCGGGACCAGCACAAGCTCCTTGGCAGCTGTTGGAGAGGGTGGGTATCAGGGGTGGGTGGGGCCCGCGGGGGGAGGGGCGGGGCCTGCAGTAGGGGCGGGGCCTCACCGGAGCTGGGGGCTGAAAATTTGACCACGAAAGGTTCACGACTAAAGGTGTCCTCCGGGTCCGGGTACTGGTACGTGTCTACCACCGACACCGCGTCCTTCCTGGGGGCAAAGGGCGAGTGGGTGCGCCGAGCCAGCCACCTCCTACCCCGCACGCTGCGACCCCACTTCTCACCTGTAAACGAACAGGTACATTTCCTTGTACTGATCCCGCCCCAGGGGCTCACTGCTCACGTAGCTGTACTGGTGCCTAGACACGCTGCGGAGATATGGGCCAAGCCCCGAGTCAAAGCACCGCTCCCGGGCCTCGGATGCCGGCCGGAGCTCCCGACGCTGGGCCCTGCCCGCCACACCTGTTGATCTGCTCCATGAGCACGGACACTGCGCTCAGGTCCGGGTCTCGCACCTCCTGCACGAGCGTGATGTCATAGCCAGCCAGGATCTGGAGAGGGGACCGTAGGGGCGGGTCACGCAGGGCAGCTTCACCCGCAGAGCCCAGAGGCAGCAGCCCCAGCCCAGGCCCCGCCTCACTTGTGCGATGACGCTGGCACAGTCTGAGTCCAACACTTTGCTGTCACCAAAACTCTGGATATTGAAGGCTCCAATGCGCAGCGCTGCTGCCCCGGCAGCCCCCAGGGCCCAGAGCGCAGCCAGTAGGGCCCGGGGCCGTCCCATTGCTCCGAGGCAGTGGCTGGGAGGACAGACACAGCCCTGAGCACCCACCCGGAGTCGGACACACCCAACCACCCCTCACCTCCCCAGGTGTGGGGGCCTGACAGGGCATGCCACCCGATGCTGGCCAGCACCAAGGGCAGGCTCCCCCTGCGCTCTCCCCAGGGTGGTGTGCTGGGCTCATGGCCATTCTCCTACTCTGTGGGAAAACTGAAGCCCAAACAGACGCACCCCATTACCATCCAGCTCGACTCACCTGAGATGTGGATAGGGCAGTGCCAGAGGCTCAGGATTTGGGCCCAAGTAAGGGTTTGAGGTCCAGGCTGGGAGTGTGTCCGTGGTACCAGACTCCAAGAGCTTGGTCTGGCAAAAGGTCTGTCTGATGCCTGGGCACACTCAGGTATTTGAGGCCCTGGTCCAGGGAGGGGCCAGCTGTGCTGGGTCCCGCCCCCTCAAAGTTGGTGCCAGAACTCCTGGCTCCCATTCCCACAGAGAACCCAGAAGACAAGGCAACAGGGGATCCACCCTGAGGCTCCAACCCCCAAGTCTGTCAGAATCAGGACTCAAGCCCCTGCCAACACCCCAAGATCTTCATGAGGAATGAGGGAGATGGCCAGCCAGGCCCTGAGTCCAGGCCTGCTCTTGTCCCCACCCCTCAGAAACTGGGTCATCCAGAATCTCCCTCCTAGAACAGCATCCCCTCAGGGAAACTAAGGCAGTACACTTAGGAAAGCCCCTCCTTAGCTCCACGTCTTCCACTGTTTCTGCTACACATTGTTAGAAGCTCCTGGTCTCCTGGCCTAAGTCCCCTGCCCCAGGGAACCACATCGGGCCTCAGGAAGCTGGGGTCACAGATCCCAGTGGGCAGGGCACCAGCAGATGGCTGCCTGTCCACATGCCAGTGACACCCACACGCAGCCAAGGTGTCGCCAGCCCCATCAGGAATACTGGGCGGGGTGGCCCGGGCAGGCAGGTGCTGCCATGGGAGAGCCTGCCAGGGCTGCCACTGCCGCAATATCACAAGCGGTGGGTTTTCATGTTTTATTGTAAAGCAACAAAAAACTCTATTTACACCCCCACATGTCTGAACATCTGGATTCTGTGCCGTGTCTTGTCCATACTAGGCCAAGTAGGAGCGGGGAGGGCACTCAGGTTCCTTGCCCCTGACCCAGCCCAGCCCAGTGGGACCCTACAGGCACCCACGCTAAACAATGACAGTCTGCACCTCGAGCTGGCCCTCTGGCGAGGCAATAACCAGCTCGCCCGCGTGCTCCAGGATCTCAATGTCCTCCGATGAAACCATGGTCACAGTAGCCTGTTCAGTGCCATTTGCACCCGCACGGGCAGTAAGCACAGTGCCCTCGCTGATGGCTGAAGCCAGTGTCATGGCCACCTGCTCTGTCAGGCTTTCCGGGGTGGCAATGGTAATGGTGTCTGCAGCAGCCGCTTCTGGACCTAGCTCCGCCTCCTGATCCATGGTCACATTCTGCACAATGATTTGGTGCCCGGCGCTGGCCTGGTGTACGATCTGCTGCACCACCTTCATGATATGGCTATCCACCTGTGGGTGGCTCACAGCTCAGCCCACAAGGTTGGGTGAGGGCACCACACCTCCCTTCTCCCTCTCCCCCAGCCCCTCACCTCTGTCTGGGTGCCCTCGATGATCTCTGTAGCTTCACTGGTCTCTGTATCATCCGTGGTGGCCTGGAAAGAGGGTCAGAGGTCAACCTTGCCTGTCCCTGGGCCACATCCCAGCCCTGCCCTACACCCACCTCAATGATGTACTCCTGGGTGTCAGCCACCACGGATGAGAATTCAACCAACACAGTGTGCGGGTCTTCATCAAGGACAGTGGCAGCTGCTGTGGGGCTCTCTTCGGACACCAGCAGCTCCTCCACCTCCAGTAGGCAGCCCCCTGAGGTGGAGAGCTCAGTCAGGGCTGGCCTCCTGCTGCCCCTCACCCCCTCCTGCCTCCCACTCGCCCCCAACCTTTAGTGCGCAGGTGCCGGTTGAGCGTGCCGTGCTCGGCAAAGCCACGGCCACACTTGTAGCACTTGAAGGGTTTCTCGCCCGTGTGGTGGCGAACATGCCGCACCAGTGAGCCCTTCTCCCGGAAGCCTCGGCTGCAATATGGGCACACGTGCGGCTTCTCTTCCAGGTGTGTCCGGAAGTGTACCTGCTGGGCATTCTGAGGAGGCCACTGTCAGGATCAACCTGGTCTTGTCCACACCTAAGACTGAGGCTTTCCCCACCCACTTCTAGGGCCGGGGAAGGGGGGGGGGTCCGAGCCAACACTGGGCAGAGGGGTAACACGGGAGGGCTGGGGCAGAAACAAGGGACGGAGCTGGCCCACAGAGTGGGGAGCTCATGGGCGGGGGGGTCAGAAGTCAGGGCTGGAGGGCCCACCTTGGTCTTGTAGCGCTTGCCACACTCAGGACATGGGTAGGGCCGCTCATCTGAATGGACACGCCGGTGGCCGCGCACGTGAGCGATGGTCTTGTAGAGCTTCCCACAGTCCCCACAGCGGAAGCGGCGCTCGTGCACGTGGACCTCCTGGTGCTTCTTGAGCAGGTAGGCCTTGGGGAAGGCCTTGCCACACTGCACACATGTGAACAGCTTCGGCCCTGGGGCCACAGGCAATGTCAGGCCACGTCCCATCCCCAAGGGCCCCCCCGCCAACTGCCTGCTGCCTGCCCACAGGCCACCCTGACCACCATTGCCCAAGGGACCACCCTGGCCACTCACAGTGCCCCACTCGCCACCCACCTGCGTGGCTCCTTTTGTGGGCCTCTAGGGTGGCAGCTGTCGGGAAGGTTTCACTGCACTGAGGGCACAGGTGGGTCCTGGATACCGCTGAGGCTTCATGGGCCACCTGCTGGGGGACCACAGCGTATTTCCAGCATCCACTGCAGGCTGGGTCCCACAGACAGACCCGTAGCACCCCCACCCTGAGAGGCTCATCATGGGCTCAGGGGTAAGCAGCTCAGGGGACAAAGTCACTGCAGAAAGTGACAGCAGAGAGCACAGCAAGGAGGCAGGCGGCCAGGCCAGGGTAGTGAGTAGCTTCCTCTATGGTGCGGCCCCCAGGAGTGAGCACACTGGCAGCACAGGTACCTACTGTCTCCACCTGCTCCACCTCCAGCAGCGGCAGTTCTGGGGGACCATCTCCTAGGGGCTGGGCACTGGACGCAGCGGGAGGGACTGGTTCCAGGGGCCCCTCCTCCCCAGTGACCCGCTCAAGGACAATGCCAGAGTTCTGCATGGCCTGGTGCAGCAGGTTCTCCCGACTGTCCTCGCTGGAACAGGGAAGCTCCTTGGGAGCAGGGGGCTGTGGGGATGGGGAGGGAGGGAGGTTGGCCAGGCGGCTCCGCATATGGCGCCCACCCGCACCCACCACACAGGAGAAATCCAAGGTGCCCAAGGACCACTGTGCACACCCAGCATCTTCACTCAGGAATGCCCCTGGGAGCCCCATAGTCCACTCCCATCTGCTCTCGCCTGCCCCATCTAGGGCAGCCATTGGTCTTTCATCGCCTCTACCACCACACAGAGTGCAGGCCCAGGTCAGTCCCATTCCCACTAGAGCCAGTGCCCAGAACAGATCCTGGCGCTGAGCAGTCAGAGGCCACACCCCCACGGCCCCCACCTCTGGGGTTAGGGCTTTCATGCCCAGGGGAAGCTCTTGCATCTGGACATGGACTTCATGAATGACAGTGCCCTTGGCATCTGTCACCAGATGAATCACGGGTGATGTCTCCATGGGCTCGCCTATCACCGATGATGATGTAACGGTCCCCACGGCGGAGGCACCGGACCCTTTAAGGCAGAACCAAGAAGAGTCCTTGAAGAAGCCTCCCTGACCAGGGCAGCTTCAGGGCTGGAACAGGGAGCCTTCACCATGCTGACCTGTATGCGCCTCCTCTTTGCCAACAACCACATCCTTGCTCATGGTGAACCGGATTTTTTCAGTGCACGGGGTGAGAGACTTGAGGTGCCGGGTCAGTGCACCTGACTCCCGGAAGCTCTTTCCACACTTGGCACATTTATAGGGACGCTCATCTGTGGAATGGAGTCAGCTATGGGTAAAGAAGGCAGGCCTGGAGCCATAGCCTCCCACCAGGAGGCAGGGGTGCCCCACATACTGAGCGAGCTCACCTGTGTGCCGCCGGTGGTGCCGGATGAGGGAACCCTTGGTCCGGAAGGAGGCCCCGCACAGCTTGCACTCGTGGTCCTTACGACTGCTGTGGGTGACCATGTGGGCCTTGAGGATGCTACCCTGAGAGGGAGGGGCAGCGAGGCTCAGGCAGCTGCCTGGGCAGGAGGCCTGGTCCCCTTAGCTGACACGGCCCAAGATCTGGGGCTCACCGTCTTGAAGGTCTTGTGACACAATGCACACACGTAGCGGCCATCCTCGTTCACTAGCAGCTTGAGCTGGGCCTGCTCACCCTGCCCGGCCAGCCCGGGCCCCTGAGGATCGGGGCTGCCTGAGGCCTCTGCCATCTCACTGTCGCCTGGATCCACCTCAGCAGCCACAATGACTTCTTTGATGTGTCCACTGTCTAAAGAGAAGCAGGTCAGCCTGAGTCTCAGGATGCCGAGGGCCCTACCCCTCCTGGGACCCTGGCCCAGGAATACTGCTGGAGTATACTGGAGCTGCTTGGAGAAGTTCCAGGCCCCCAGAATGTATCCAGTGGAGACCATGGTGAGCAAATGCCCCCTCCCCTAAGCCAAAAGGAGTACAGCACTAGATGTGCACAGGGGTCCTACCACTTCTAAGGGCAATGGAGTACCCAACACAGAGACAGTGGGCAGGCCAACCCAGCTCACCGTAATCTATCCTGCTTGCTGCCTCAGCTCCCACTAACATAAGAAAATGCCTCCAGAGTCACCCACTAGCATCTATTCTGAAGCAGGCAGGCGAGGAACCCGGCCTCAAAGTGAATGCTCATGAGACACCTGGGACAGCCTGAGGTTTCTGCACCTGTCGAGAGCGTTGAAGAAATCTGACAATCACGCTGGCTGGGTAGCTCAATTGATTAGAGTGTCATCCCAATGTGAGTTCGATCCCCATTAAGGATACAACAAGAATCAACCAATGTGCCCTGTCTAGTGTAGCTCATCCCTTGCACTGGGAGGTCGCCAATTTGATCCTGTCAGGGCACATGCCAGGATTGGGGGCTCGATCCCTGGTAGGAGTGTGCAGAAGGCAGCTGATAGATGTTTTTCTCTCACATCAATGTTTTCCTCTCCCCGCCCCACCCCTTCCTCTCTCTCTAGAATCAATAAAAACATATTTAGAAAAAATAAATCTGACAATGTGTAAAGCTAAGCTGTAAACACTTCACAATTTCTGTTCATAAAAATGACAGTTGGAAATGGTTGTGAAACTGCTTCTTTGAAGCCTCAATCAAGCTGGCACCATGTGTTGACAAGTCATTCCCTCCAAACAGAATGGAAGCACAACAAATAAGGGCCCAGCCAGTGTGGCTCAGTGGTCGAGCATCAATTTCTAGTCAGGGCACATGCCTGGGCTGCCAGCTTGATCCTCAGTAGGGGGTGTACAGAAGGCAGCCGATCAATGATTTTCTCTCATCATTAATGTTTCTCTCTCTCTCTCTCCCTCTCCCTTCCTCTGAAATCAATATTATATTAATAAGAAGAAGACGACGATAAAGCATGCCTGATGCTTTATCTTTCCTCTGCCCCAGGATGTGTCATACAGTAGACCAAAGGTTCAGGGAAGGGGTAACAAGTGAAGTGCAAGTTTGTTTCCCAAGAAGAGGCAGGAGTGGGTATCTAGCTGCTAATCGGCCCCAGCAGCCTCCGCTGACCATGCAAAGACACAGAACTCTCAACCCTGGGACAATAGCAGATGGTAGTTTAGAGTCTGGCCAATCCTGGGCTGTGGACCACTGAGCAGCTAACACCAAGGGGACATTTGGGGCACCCAGGATGCCTGCAAAAGGAGAGACTCCCAAGGATGTAAGAGAGGCAGGGGTGCCCACAGAGGAGCCCCCAGAGCTGCCGAGCTGCAGGCATGGGCAGGCTGGAGGTCAGGGTGGTGGGAAGATGCCTGACTGAACAAGGGTCTGCAGCCCGTAGATGCTGCCCAAACACAGAATTTGTTTTTTCTTTCTTTATTTTTATTTTTTAAATCCTTACCCAAGAATAAGCTTTTTTGATTTTTAGAGAGAAAGGAAGAGGGAGAGAGAGAAACGTCAATGTGAGAGAGAAACATTGTTCAGTTGCCTCCCATACGTGCCCTGACCGGAAACCGAACCTACAACCTTTTGGTGTACAGGACAGCACTCCAACCAACTGAGCCACCCAGCCAGGGCAGGGAACTTGTTTTTCTATGACACCACCCACCCCAGAAACCAAACACCAAGCCAGGACTGGAGCACGGCCCCACCTCCCACAGGACAGCATTCCTATCCCAGAGGGGCACCAGGTGAACTTCCTTGTCCACAGGAACCTCAGGGGGAAAGAGCATGGAGACAAGGATAGGTGTCCCCTCACCTCCCTGAGGTGGGGCCTTGGCAAAAAGCCTGCTCCAAGGTTCCCCTCCCCCACTCTCCTCCCCCACCCCTTCCTTCTACCCCAGATGGTCCTAAGAGCTTCCCAAAGGCAAATTCTACCTGTTGCCCAAACTTCCTGTCTAGCTCCTCAACCCACTCATGCACCTGCCAAGGTCTCTGCCCAGCAGGCTCCCCAGGTAACCACCATTCCCTTCCAAATTTCCCAAGGCAGCAGGCTCAACCCAGCCTTCCTCCACTGCTGTGCACACACCCAGCACCTCCCCTCCCCCCCACAACTCTCTTCACTGCCCCAGCCCTGAACTACCCTTTGAATGTCCCCCTGCATTGGCCTGTCCCCAATTAATGAGTGTGTGATCCAATCCAAACATCTCAACACCCCTCCCCTATTGTACATCAGAAGGTACTTTAACAAAAAAAGCCATCAAAGGGGCTGACTTGGCGTTGTATGCTCATAAAAGCCTTGTGAGAATCAGGTCAGGAATCACTATCCCCACAGGGAGTGAGCACTGGGGAGTAGAAGGCCAAGGTCAGGCAGCAGATCAAGGCCAAGCTGGAGCAGCAGATGCACCCCATGCATACCCACCCGGAATCTCCAGAGCCAACTGTGGGGGGGGGGGGGGGAAGGAACCAGGGAGGTAGCAGAGAAGTAGGGAAGATCCTAGGGCAGCCCAGGCAACATGCTTTCCCTTTCCTGGCAGGGGAGGGCGTGATGCCCAATGCTCAATCCTCCCATAGACCTTGCCCTGAGGAAGGTGCACACCAGGCCTCAGTTCCTCCTGGGCCAGGCCTTGCTCTCGGGGATCAGAGGAGTGCGGGCAGCAGAGGTTCCCAGCCTCCAGCCCTGACCACTGATGGCTACCAGGTCAGCGACACTTCAGGGCTGAAAGCCAGGAGTGGACACGCCCAGTGGGGCCAGCTTACCAATATCAGGCGTGTGACTGATGTCTGGTGTCAGAGCAGCTGCCTCCACAACAATGTGGGCCAAGGTGATGGGCTCCTCCGGGCTTGCCACGGCCGGGACCACCTATCGGTGGTGAACAAGGACAAAAGGAACTCGTCTGCGGAGCTCCCGAGCTCCCTTGGCTTGGGGAGTGCAGGCTTGGTTTTATGTCCATGCAGGATGGCTGGGTGGAGGCTCTCATCTCCCCCAAGAGACTCACTACTCTGAGCCCAACTCCCAGCCTGGCCCAGGGTGTCAGCCCCATCACTCTAACACCTTTAGCCCCTGAGGAACACAGCACCAAGCACCCTCCAGGAGGACTCCAGAAGGAAGTGATCAGAACTCCAGCTCGAAACTCAGCTGGCTGTGCAGGAATGAAGGTGGTGAAGGTAAGCTATTACACCCCCAGCCCCAGCCAGGGGTCACAGGAGAGGGCTCTGGGAGTGTGGGTCCAGGGGCCTTCCTAGAGGAGAGGGCACTTCCGGGAGGGGCAGGTACAGAGCATAGGGTCGGAGTAAGACAACTCTGGGCCCGCTGTCCTCTAGGCTACGCCCTGTAGTGACCTGAGGCAACAGACTTGTCTTGGAGCCTCCTTTCCCACTTCCTCCCGAGGATGACAAGAGTGCCCACTGTGCGGGGCGCCACAGGCCCTAACTGTGTGTGTACAGCCCCAAGCACACATGGGGTGCAACAACGTCGGCCATTTTTATTATGGGGTGGCGGGATCCAGAGCCATGCTGTTTGTGGGATCCACAGAACTATCTGTACAGGATAGAAGACAGGCCAAAAATACAAAAACCACCATGATACCCCTGAGCCAAGGCAGAACTCTGGGCCACAAGAAAGGAGGGACCACAGGCCCCAACTGCGTATGCTTCAGCCAGAGGCTGCTGAGAAGGCCAGGCCATCCAGGAAATCCCAGAGCACCATCAGGCTCTTGGTGGTAGAGCCAGATGCCCCCTCACCCCAACAGAGGGCAGTCCCATCCGGATGGCTCAGAGTCACAAGCCCAGCACTGAGGTGTCTGCCACCCACTTAACCCTCCCTTGGCTCAGAGTCACAAAATCGGATGCCTGCTCTCTGCCTGCCCCGGTGTCACTGGGAACCAGCTGCACAGGTCTGTCCCCGCATGCCACCTCCTCCTCATCCTGCATGTGTGTGGGTGGTGGGCTTACCTCCTGGCCCAGCAGCGCAGCGGCCGCAGGGGTGGCAGGCAGGGCCTCCGGGGGAGCCCGCTGGCAGACCTTCTGGAGCTTGTGCTGAACAAAGTCCTCCAGAGCAGTAAACTCCGCCTGGCAGCGGCCACATCTGTGCACATCGTCCTCATCTGTAACAAGCCTGAGGTCAGTGGGGCTGGGCAGGGCTTCCAGGCCCTGGCCAAATCCACCCCAGGGTGGCATCAGAACCAGAAGTGCCTTCCCTGACCCTCCCAGAGGGGCTGAGAACACCCTCAGGAGCCCAAGGTGCAAGCCCTCATCCTCTGGAGGTCAGCCTCAACAGTACACTTAGGCTGCAGGAATGCACCCAGGCCGTCATGTCCAAAGCCCCCACCTCAGAGACAAGGGGAGAGAGGCCCAGGGAGGCGGTCATGAGGCAGAGGCATTTGACCAATTCGGGGACAGTGGCTTATAGGGTTTTCATGTGACCTTGGGTACCTCGATGACCACATCTGGGTCTGTTCCCTCAACTATAAAATGGGCTGACCCAATGCAGAGTACAGCAGAGGGAGAAGAGGTGCTGGTTCCCACAGGGCTCTGGCTAAGAGGCCAGCCCTTGGCAAACACAGAAGAGGGGGCACCCTGACCCATAACTACTCTTCTCTCTCTCTGACTTGGTGCTTCCTTAGTGCCAACAGGCAGCACCTCCCTGCTCTGGTGATGACACCCAGGATGGAACCTGAGAGGGACTCCACGCCTTAGGGCCACAGCACCTGAGCCCCTCACCATCTGGGATAACCAGCCAGTAGTGCCTGCCTCTCCTGCTCACTGAGTCCCTACCACATTCCAGGCACCTCACTGGGGATGTCACCAAATCCAGACAGCACCCTGGGGAAACGGAAATTACTATTTCCACTCTAGCAGAGCAACTTGGGATTCAAGACCACCCAGCTGGTGACTACTGGGGCCAGAACCTGAACCTGAGGGTCTACTCTAGAAATCCCACTGTTTAGACAAAGGGATGGGGAGGTGTTCCCTCTGCTTCCGTAAAAGTCTGCTAGTTCCCATCATCTCATATGCAGCCCCTCATTAGGGTCAAACCCAGGCCTGGTGCACAGGGGCGGTCAATGTCTATTGAATTAATGAGCAATCAAAGGGCCAAACCACCGCCATGACTCGCCTACAGGCCACCTGACAGAGGGCAGTCCCATCCAGATGGCTCAGAGTCACAAGCCAAGCACTGAGGTGTCCGCCACCCTTTTAACTCGCTGAGTCTGACTCGGCACCAGGGTATTGAGGGTTGAAGGAACTCCTGCCACAGAAGGGGACACACCCAGCCCATGTGACACTGAGACAATGCCATGGGCAAGCCCAGCAGGGCACAGCAATCTCCAGAGAGACCCCTCTTCAAGTTGGCCCTGCCCCTCCCCAAGCTGGAATAAGGAGTACGAAAAAACTGCACCAGGAATATGAAGGCTGTAGGGAATATGAATGCTGTAGGGACAATGGCCACCAACCCAATATCACTAGCTGACCCCCTCCTGTCTGGCCCAGGCTACAGCCGCATGGGACAAGCTCAGAGGGCTGAGACCTTAGTTCTATCTCCAAAAGCTACTTCTCCGTGAATGAGCCTCAGTGTGTTCCAGCATTGTTCTCAGTGATTCACATGCTGTTTTCATTCTCACCACTGCCCTATGAGATGGCAGCACACAGGAGCGTGTTGAACTGTCTCACAGTTCAGTCCTTGCTGCTTACTAGCTGGGTGACTTGGTCACTTCCACATTTTTGAACCTCAATACTCCTCACTCACAAAATGGGAAATAACAACAATAATAATAGTGTCCAGGGTTGGTTTGAGGATGAAAAAAGCTGATACAGGTTAAATGCTTGATACCTTGTTATCAGCAGCATCCCCATTTGTAATAGGAAATGGAGCGGTGTGTGGCCACCTGCCCAGGATCAAAGAGCTAGAAACGGGCAGGTCCGGGACGGAGCCCGCAGGCTGGCTGCAGTGCACCGGCTCTCCTCCCCAGGTGCCAGCTGGACAAAGCCCAAACCTGGAGAAACCCGAGGCCCCGCCCTCCTGGAGCCCCCAGCCACACCCAGCCAGGGCCCCGGCGGCCCGTCAGGTGCAGCGGGAGGGGGCCCAGGGGAGAGCTGGGCTGGCGGTGGAGGCGGTCGTGGAGGTCCATCCGGACAGCCCCGAAGGCTTGGGCAACTGTGAGTATCCAGGAGTCAGCACCGAACCCACGGGGATGACTGGCGCCCCGCAGGTGAGGCCCGAGAGTCCGAGGAAACCGGGGACTCGTGCAGGTGTCTGAGGGGTCCCCTGGGAGAGAAATCCGGGTCTGGGAACGTCAGTCGCGCCTGCAGCTCAGGTCATCGGGGCCTCCGCCAGCCCCGGGCAGAGTTGCCCCCACCCCGGCCACACCCCGCCGCATCCGGCCGTGTTACCTTCCTCGCTAAAGGGCGCCGGGAGGCCGAGGAAGCCGCCAGGGGCTAAGGCCGCCGACGACGCCGCCTCGACCCCGCCCTCGCCCGCTTCCCTCCTGGCTTCGGCCCGGGCTTCTGCCGTATGAGCGGCCGTCACCCGCACTGCCATTGCGCCCTCCATGTCGCAACGCGCCGCAGGAAGATGGCGGATTTACGACCGTGTCGTCATAACAACGGGCCGCGCCGGAGCGAGGAAGACGACGCCAGGTTGGCGGGGCGGGGCCAGGGTGAGTTTGATGGACAGGTAGAGGGGCGGAGCTTATAACGAGAGGTGGTGGGCGAGGCTTCTTATGGGGGCTGGGTTACAGTGGAGCGGACTGACAAGCAGCGGGCTGGGTCTGGAGGAGGGCTCTTGGGTTTGGTTTAGGAAGGAAGGGACGTAGCTGTGCTAGAGGAAAGCGGAAGGCTGGGGCGGGCCTGGAAGGGGCTGGGCTCGGTCCCGAAAGCGGCATCTGGACTTGAGAGCTGGAGTATAGGGGCGAGGTGGCCCGGTGCGCCACCCGGCCAGCCTTGAGAATGTGCTATGGCCCTGGGCACCACGTGGGAACCCCGAGCTCTAGAGGGCCGTATGGGGCCCTCTGTCCACCACCGACCCCCCTCAGGTGTCAGAACGTCCCTGGTTGGTTGCCCTGGTCATAGAGTAAAACCGAGTTTGGGATGGCTCACGCACAGTTAGCTTCACTAGGCCTCTTATTCTTTTGTGTATTTTTTTAAGTTGTGATAAGTACACATAAAATTTATCATTAGTGACATTTAGAACATTCGCAATGTTGTGCAACCATCACCATCATCTAATTTCAGAACTTTTGTCATTTCAAAAGAAAACCTGTACCCATTAGCCGTCATTCTCCATTATCCCCTTACCCCAGCCCCTGGCAACCACTGTCTGTTTCTATGGATTTACCATTTCTGGACATCCTATATAATAAAAGGGTAATATGCAAATCAACCTAACTGTGGAGCAACTGGGTCGCTATGATGTGCACTGACCACCAGGGGGCAGACGCTCAAAGCAGGAGCTGCCCCCTGGTGGTCAGTGTGCTCCCACAGGGGGAGCACCACTTAGCCATAAGTTGGGCTGATGGCTGGTGAGCGCAGCAGAGGTGGCAGGGAGCCTCTCCTGCCTCCGCCCAGCGCTAAGGATATCCGACTGTGGACATCTCCCAAGGGCTCCGGGACTGCTAAAAGGCGCAGGCCAGACTGAGGGATCTGCTCTCCCCCTCCCTCTCCCCCACCTCCAGTGCACGAATGTTGTGCACAGGCCTCTAGTTTTATATAAATAAAATTACACATGTGATCTTTTGCCTCTGGCTTTTTGTATTATTATTATTTCTTTTATTGATCTCTGAGAAGAAGGGAGAGAGAGAAACATCATTGATGAGAGAGAATCACCAATCTGCTGCCTCCTGCACACCCCCCCACTGGGGATGGAGCCAGCAACCCCGGGCATGTGCCCTGACCGGGAATCAAACCATGACCTCCTGGTTCATAGGTCAACACACAACCACTGAGCCACTCTGGCTGGGCAACCTCTGGCTTCTTTTGCCTAACACAATGTTTTCAAAATTCATCTGTGGTAGGCAGTTAGACATGAGCAGAGCAAGGGCTAGGTACTGGCAGTCACCAGGGCGGGAATCCCTGGGTGCCAAGCAACAGACAAAGCCGGGGAAACAAGGACCTTGCCCTCAAGGTAACCTTTCCTCCCCTAGCATATTGCTGATCATGCAGTTTAGACCCTCTGACCTTCCATATCACTGGTCACAGTGTTCGGACCCTCCCCTGACCTTGCCTCCCCTGGCACGTTGCTAGTCATGGGGTTGGGGGTTGGGGTGTGAACAAGGGGACTGGAGAATAGCCGTTAAGCATTAACCCCGGGGGATAACGTCTAGGCTTCAGTTGTATTTCAGCTACAGAAAAGCAACAAAACCTGGCAGCTGACCTCAGGACCAGCTGCATTGACTGATGACCCCCTGCCCTGGCACCTGTCAATCTGTGGAGACCCTGACCCTGAAACGATACACCTGGAAAGTTGATGAGTATTCTATTGGGATCTTCTCCTGGTATTGCCCCTAAAACTTCCGCCCTTAAAAGCCCTTAGGGTGGAGGACCCAGCTTGCTCTCCCTCCCCTGAGCATACCCTCCACCTTTCCCCTCCCATGCCTCTTCCCTCTCCCCCCAAAGCATGTTACCTCCTGAGCCCATTTCTTCTGCCGCTCACTTCTTCCACCTCTGTGATTTTCTAAATAAATGTTCTCTCATAGTTTGAGTTTTGGCTCTGAATTCTTTCCTAGCCAGAATTCAAGTACCAAGGTTGCTGAACCCAGGTACAGTCTGACCCCACCGGTCTAACACCTGGTGCCATTCTCGCCACCTCCAACACATCCAGGTTGTTGTATGTATCAGTACTTGATTCCTTTTTATGGCTGAATAATTATATGGATACATCACAATTTATTTATCCATTCAGTACATTTGGGTTGTTTCCACCTTGTATGGTAAATGGGAACCTGGGCCGCTTCCCATGTTCCAACTCTTCTTCCAACCCTATTGGAAATATAGTGATGACCACCTGTAAGTGACTGTGAGACCTTGACCAGAAGAAATGCCAAAGAGAAACTGCTTCTAGATGTGAGCCAGGATTGTAAATAGTGTTTTGATCTCACATAGCTTATGTACGGGCACACCCCTCTCCCCCTGTGTGCCCTGTTTTTCTCTGTTTTTTGTACTCCATAAAACCTTGTGTTGGGAAAGTCTGGGTAGCAGCAAAACAATAGCACCAGCCGGCCACTCCCAGTGCGGCCTGTCTGCAGGCCAGATGGGACTTAGTGGGACAACTTCACAGGTGGAAGCCAGTGTGGTGGCAAACTTCACTGGTTGGTCGCCACTGGTATACACGTTAAGTCCTAATAAACCCATGTCTTTCACCATCAGTCCTCTGAGTTATTTCTTTGGAATTCACAAACAATACGCTAAGGTTTTCTGGGACCTCAGCACTTTGCATAACAAGTCCCAAAGTGGAAACAACCCAAATGTCCATCAACTGGAGAAGAGATCAACAGGGATATAGTATATTCTTACAATATTCCATGTGACAACTCCGGATAAAAAGTGGCTATATGCTAACCTGACTAGCTCAGGGAAGGCCTGCATGGTGGCCTTGCAAACTCAGAGAACTAAAGTAACCACAAAAGTTACTTTGTGATAAATACACAGAAAATTGTATCTATGGTAGCCTGAAATTAAAACTTTTTAGCTAAAAAAGTGTGTGGTGGGTAGTCATGTCCTAGGTCAGCATCTTCCCTGACAAAGGTCAATCTTTACCCTAATTGAGCCTGTCATTGTCTTTTTGCATCTGTGATAACATATCTTTGGAATGTCCAAGTAATTTTCCTTTTTCTGGACCCCTCAAAGCACAGGCACCATTCTGTGGAGACCAAGACCATAAATCCCCTCATTGTTACTGAGTTTATTGTTGACTGTTAACTATCCTTTACCCACCTATATGTAAAAGAAGTATGTGTCTGTCATTTTACTTTTTATCCAATCCCAGAGGTTCCACCCCTTTCCCTGGCTTTCGCCTGCCTCCCTAATCTACCACCAATGAATTTCATGTCACCCACATACATCTCCTCTTTTGATTGTAATGCATAAAATAAGGTGCAAAACTGCCATTCTCCAGAGCATTATCTCTAGTCCGAAGACCAACACTCTATCCACTGAGCCAAACCAGTCAGGGCGAGAGCATTATCTCAATCCGTTGAGATTTTGCTCCCGGCAATTGTTGACAGTTTGGCTCAAATAAACTCACAAAAGTTCTTCACAGGTTTGAATGTGTTTTTTTTTTCTTTTTTTTTTATTTATTTATTGCTTAAAGTATTACAAAGGGTATTACATATGTGTCCATTTTATCCCCCCGCCCTAGACAGTCCCCTAGCCTCCCCTATCCCCCAGTGTCTTATGTCCATTGGTTATGCTTATATGCATGCATACAAGTCCTTTAGTTGATCTCTTATCCCCCTACCTCCTGCCCCCCAACCCTCCCCAGCCTTCCTGCTGCAGTTTGACAATCTGTTTGAGGCAGCTCTGCCTCTGTATCTATTATTGTTCAAAAGTTTATAATGGTCTCTATTATCCATGAATGAGTGAGATCATGTGGTATTTTTCCTTCATTGACTGGCTTATTTCACTTAGCATAATGCTCTCCAGTTCCATCCATGACGTTGCAAATGGTAAGAGTTCCTTCCTTTTTAGAGCAGCATAGTATTCCATCGTGTAGATGTACCACAGTTTTCTAATCTATTCATCTACTGATGGGCACTTAGGCTGTTTCCAGATCTTAGCTATGGTGAATTGTGCTGCTATGAACATAGGGGTGCATATATCCTTTCTGATTCGTGTTTCTAGTTTCTTGGGATATATTCCTAGAAGTGGGATCACAGGGTCAAATGGGAGTTCCATTTTCAGTTTTTTAAGGAAACTCCATACTGTCTTCCATAGTGGCTGCACCAGTCTGCATTCCTACCAGCAGTGCACAAGTGTTCCTTTTTCTCCACATCCTCTCCAGCACTTGTCGTTTGTTGATTTGTTGATGATAGCCATTCTGACAGGTGTGAGATGGTACCTCATTGTTGTTTTGATTTGCATCTCTTGGATGATTAGTGACTTTGAGCATGTTTTCATATGTCTCTTGGCTTTCTGAATGTCCTCTTTTGAAAGGTGTCTATTTAGGTCCTTTGCCCATTTTTTGATTGGATTGTTTATCTTCCTTTTGTTAAGTTGTATGAGTTCCCTATAAATTTTGGAGATTAGGCCCTTATCAGATATGACATTGGCAAATATGTTTTCCCACACAGTGGGTTTTCTCGTTGTTTTGTTGATGGTTTCTTTTGCTGTGCAGAAGCTTTTTATTTTGATGTAGTCCCATTTGTTCATTTTCTCTTTCGTTTCAAGTGCCCTAGGAGCTGTATCAGTGAAGAAATTGCTTCGGCATATGTCTGAGATTTTGTTGCCTTTGGATTCTTCTAGAATTTTTATGGTTTCCTGTCGTACATTTAAGTCCTTTATCCATTTTGAGTTTATTTTTGTGTATGGTGTAAGTTGGTGGTCTAGTTTCATTTTCTTGCATATATCTGTCCAATTTTCCCAGCACCATTTATTGAAGAGACTATCTTGGCTCCATTGTAT